TTCCTCCAACATTGATGTTGAGAATGAAGTGTTTGGTTGGAGAATTCAGCAAGCGGGAGGGAGACACTGGCAATCGATCTTCCACCTCCTCGTTTTCATACTCGGCATAAATATCGTAGATGTCTCTGCCAAGGTCCTTCAAAATATAACAAAACACAAAATGAACAGAAAAACTGAAAAATATCAGCTTAGATATGATCGTAGTAAAGTAGTAGATTTGTTTTTGCTCATCACAGTTCCAATTAGGTGAATGCTACTCTACACCAAACCTGGTGTAGAGTAGCACCTGTTGTGTAATTTTTACCTTATTGGTTGCCGTGACAGATCACTTTCCAAACTTATGAGAAAAATAAGTGGCATGGTGGTTCACTAAATAGCATTTCTGCCTCACATCATAGCAAGAAGGTCCCCAGTTCACCTGGTCATCTACAGTCTTCTGCGTGGAGTTTGCTTTGAGTACTTCAGCAAATTTAAATAGCAGATTCTGAACTGGCCGTGGATTTGAGGAAAACACAGTGCTTAAGGCAGATGGAATACCAAGTCCAATTCCACTTCCTGCTTGGCATCCTTGCCAAAGATTTCACTGAAGAGCTCCACATCTGTATATTTAAGTTCCAGTTTTACTTTAATGTTGCTGTTGATTTGTTGCTTATAGTAGCCTGTACTATTTTTATTCATTACCGTTCTGCTGTGAGACGGCAAGTTCCCCTGTGGCATCAATAAAGTACCCATTTACCTCTCCATATCTATGCATCCATGAATCCTACTTTATCTTATATTTGAGAGTCTTAGCTTGAGCACTAGAATGTGGTTCAATGCTGAAAAAACACAACAGCCGTAAAACCATGGAAGCTGTCTCAGCCTCACTGAACTTGTTGAATCTGAACAAAACATAACCAAAATCCAAAGGTATAGCTCAAATCTGTTTTAAAAATAGCTCCATCAAATCAAACAAATCCCAAATGGACCGAGTGACTGACCTGCATGGAGTTCCATGGTTTAATGAAGGCGCTGATCAAGTCCAGGTGTTCCACTGTTTCTTTGACCTCTTGAGTCCGGCTGCCGGGCTTGTAGCTGGAGAATAAACTCCTGCTTCGAGCTCTGAGGTGGTTAAACATGATCGCTGCTTTAAGTGTTAAATGTAAACTGCACAGAGACACGTCGCATTCACAGACACATTCAGTAATAAAGAAATCATACTGTTCACACACATGCACGCAGCTGACAGAGAGATATCACACACAGAGTGATGAGGGAAGTGATTCTCCTTGCCTAATGCTGCTGACTGAGATGATCCGGGTGCTTAAAGTTTTAAATACTATTATCCTCTTCTGTCCATCTCCTGATCTCTCAAGCTCTCCCTCTCCTCCCACTTTCGCATAAGTTTACAAATCTGGTAAATTAGGGTCATAAATGTGATCATTTTAATACTATTCTAAGATGTCAGTCCACTGCTTTGTACAAGACAGTATTTGAAAACTCTTAATTTACAACAGCATCTGAAACGTAATGATACAGAGCAGCTATAAAATGCAGTTCTGACATTCATTGCCAACAGATAGCATAGGAAAAAAGTAGAGTAGCAATTTCTTTGTAGGTGACTGTAGGTGTCAAAATCTCTGTACCCTACAGAACACATGCAGATCTAAAGTTCTGTCATTGTTATACTTCACTACACATGGACATTGATCTGGTCCGTAAAGTAGCTGAGGGGATTGTTGATCAGTTTCATCTGCTTTGGTGTACATTTTAGTACAATGACACTACTGTTAGCGATACCTGGACCTTACAGTGTTTCCAGAGGGAGCCCAATTCCTCCAGGCTGGCACATCAATACATGCCATTGCCAGAAGGTTTGCTGTTTCCTCCAGCACAGTCTCATAACCATGGAGGAGATTCCAGGTAATAGGCAGTTACTGTAGCAGAGCTGGGCAGGCCTGTAGAAGGTACTTTAGCAGGACCAGTATCTGCTCCTTTGTGCAAGGAGCACAGTTGCATAATGACCTCCAGCAGGCCACTGGTGTTAACATCTGACCAAGCAATCAGAAGACAGCTTCCAGAGGTTGATCTGAGGGCCCAACATCCTTTAGTAAGCTCTGTGCTCACTACACCGTGGAGTCCGACTTAGATTTGCCATAGAAGACCAGAACTGTTAGATCTGCCACTAGTGGGACGATGTAGGAAAACCACTGACTGGCCCCAAACTCCCCTGTGTTAAATCCAATAGAACATCTCAGGGACATTATGTTTCAGTCTAAATCTGGGAGATGATCCCCTTAGACTTCATTCACTGTGTCATTAGGAGATTTCTCCAACATTGACAGACACACATACAAGCACGTGGTGGGACAAACAGAGTACCAATGCTGCTAGGCTGCACCTCCGTTCATCCCTGGTCCCTACCTGGGATTTTTCCCCCCCCACTCAGATCTGATTTTTTTGTGTTCTTACAGTCTTTCTTAAAATGTTCCTTTAAGGTTTTTTTTTTTGAATAGCATAGTTTATGAAAGAAACTTGTGAGCTAGTAACTCTGCACATCGCCTTGTCCAAATATGGTAATTTCTGGCTCATCAAAAATTGTCAATATCAATGATTTGACATAATGTTGCAGCATCTTTGTCCATCTTTTATGCAGTACATGGTTTGAAGCCTCACTTCACTGAAAAATGTATTTTGAGGCTTGGAGGGGAACCGAGCCGGTTGAGTCGCTACTTTGAATTAACTGACATGAATCGGGCATCTGATCATTTGAGGGTTTCCAGCTTGCAAGAGATCCAGAAGGCACTCAAGGATCCTCCACAGTATGGAAAAACTAAATTAACCCTCCTGTTATGTTGGTTTCCAGGAACACCAATTATGCTCCTGGGTGAATTTGACCCAGGGCAAATTTACTCATCCAAAAGTGTCAGAAACACTGGCATTGATGACTTTGATTTTCTTTTATAAGTTTGATTTTGTTGTTTTCTGTAGTGATGCAGATGACATGTGACATCTCTCCTGTTCCGCAACATAACAGCAGGGTTAACCTGCTGTCACCTTGAGCCAACTGTGGATGAACAGATGGATTTTATGTAGTAAATATTAGTTTTTCTAAAAAAATAAAAAATAAAAAAAATAAAAAAAATAAAAAATGGAAAGCAAGGCATCTACTGTTCCCAGCAGTCAAATAAAAGACATTTTTGGTTTTAAGACACAAAGTTTGGATATTTCAGTTGATACGATCTTGGGAAAGTATTTCCCGTTGTTCAGAGCGCTCCTTAAATGCATCACAGCAAACCTCGATTTTCAAATATCTGATGTAGCCTTCCTTCAGATGCAACAGACTTTCGCATTTTAAATCTGTGCCTTAATCCAAGTGTGTGCGTTTGATGCAGTTGCTGCAATTATAACTCTAGTTAGGTGGAGATTAATCCTTCCTGCAGTTAAACAGGGATAATAAAAAGATGGAGGCAAACTCAGTTTCTCGACCCACTTCCCTTTACATACACGCATCCTCATGTTTGCCCCTGATCTGACTGAGGGTAGATTAAACTGTGCTGGAAGCAGAGGAGGAGAGTTTAAGTCATTACATACAGAGTCAGTCCTGCTTGTGCAGGGGAAGTCCTTAGACTTAGATGAAAGTTGTGCTGTTACTTGTTCCACTCGGTCTATGGGGAGGTGCGCACGCACATGCATTAACATTTTTAGTTCTCTTGCACCCAAATTTACCTTTATAATTTGCTTTGAGCATGAGAACTACATATTTTTGGAGTTATGCTTTCAGTAAATACACTGCAACTTTAAAACCCCCCCCCAAAAAAACCCAACCCAAAATGCACTAAATCTCTGGCATATCCATCTGGCCAGTTTAGTCAGAGTTGGTTAATCAGCTGGTTTTGTTTTAATGAAGGTGCACTACAAGGGCAACGATGAGACAACCCCCAAAACAGGAATAGCTTTACAGGTGGAGGCCAATCACATATTTCTCCCTCATCTTCTGTGTGTAGGTTTGTGTTGTTGTTTTTTTCCCCCCCCCTCGAGGGAGTTTTGCATTTGCTCAGGTCAGTGTCACTACTGGAAGCATGAGGCTTTACATGGACCCTAAAGAGGTTGTGCAAGCAGTCCAATCCTCCAGGATGGCACATCAGTGTGTGCCATTGTCAGGTTTGCTCTCCCACCCCTTACAGATTTAAGGACACGGAGAAAATTCCAAGAGAGCTGGCCAGAAGCAATGTTTCTGCTCCTTTGTGCATGGAGGAACAGGATGAGCACAGCAAAATGACCTTCAGCTAGGCACTGCAGAGAATGTCTGAACAAACAAACTGACTTCATGAAGGTCACCTGAGGGCCCAAAATCCTCTAATGGGCCTACTGTTCAGTGCCTGGGATTTGCCATAGCATAACAGAATTGGCACACTCGTGGCAAACCAGCTCTCATGTGAATGACGTCTGGAGAGACCATGGAAACATTGCTTTGCACCACCTGTTTTGGTAGGTCTGTGATTGTCTGGAATACCCATGCAGGGACATACAGATCTTTACAACACCACAACTGCAATCAAGTATTGGGATGAAATCCTTTGACCCCATCATCAGACCCAATGCTGATGCAGTGGGTCCTAAGCTCCAGGTTCCTGCTGGTGCACAACATTGCCCAGCATCATGCAGATATAGTATGGCTGTAATGGTTAACCAATGACTGTTTTCTACAGTCATTGGTTAACAGACAAAGTTACAACTACTGTTGTTATATTAGTCATGTACAAGTGGGATTTTAGCATTTGTCAAATCAGCAAACGTAATGTTGTACTTGCTTTGTAGAATAATCAGCTCTGCTGAGTGAAATTCTGGTATTTTGCCTGCAACCTACCACCTATAGTTTTCTTGATAACCAAGATTTGACAAAAGAAAAAATTTGTACAGCTCAGGAACAGGCTTTAAAACAGTCCACAAATCAGTGGGTGAGGTCATAGAGGCCATGTATCACAACATTTATGCATGACAAAAAACAAAGAACAAGATTTTCTGAGCAAAGTTGTGGATTAAATTTTAATTCCGAAGTGATTCGCAGATCAGTTTCTTCACAGATACAGAGTCTTCCCATTTTATTGGTGTCCCCCCTTCTTTGTACAAGGCTAGAAAAAGTTCACAGCAACAGCACAAACATACAAAATAGTTTTACCAAATTCATTGTGTTTTGTTTTTTCCTTCTTAAATACATCTGAGCCGCTGGTATGACGCCCAACCATAGCAAAAAACTGATCAAGTCAAATGTATACAATCTTATTTACACAAGGAGCATTTGATCAAAGTGCATTGAAGAGTCCTGATTGACGATCATGTCCAAAGGATGGGCAAATATGTACAGTGTTTACAAAAGCTGTAACCATGGTTATTTCACAAGCATAATAATAATAATAATAATAATAATAATAATAACAATAATAACAACAATAATAATCCTGTAAGAATGCATTCTAAGAGGTGGTGATGGCAAGAAAACACTCAAATTAATGAAAGAAAACTTAGTTTTGAGATATTACTGCCCAAACATGATCGTACATAAATATTCACATCTGAGGAAGCAACAAAATCTGGACCGCATCCTTTCCTCATTAAAGCCTTACTTCTAAAGGACCCTTGACCCCTCGTGTTTTGTGCAGTCTTCAAACATTCACCGTGTCAGATTCTGGGAGCCTAGATGAGGAGATCAAACTGACAATTCATCCCTTTCAACTGTTGCGACACGATGCCAGCAAGCTTCTTAAAGAGGGCGGGACAAAGAAATGACTGGAAAATGTCTGTGGCCCAAAAATAACGGAAAAATAACGGATCCTTACAACTTTGGATGTGGAATGAAACCAGTCGGGACAGAATTCATTGCAATATTTACATAATAAATAACATTTCCTCTTCACCACACACAGTGGTCTAATGTACTTCAGAAGGCATGTGGTCGTACTATAAGGTCTGCTGCTGCTGCTACGGTCAAGCGTCGGCACTGGAACGAGGCGGCGCGGTGTGACCGTGAAAAAATAAAAAAGACCCAACACGATCAGGATAAATCATCCTCTGTGCTCACTATCGAAATCTGGAGGAAGATGAAGGGAGGGGGAGGAGAGAGGAAGACCGGTTTAGAAATGCTCACAACAACAGCACTTTAAAGGCTCGTTCATTCCAAGCTGCACCGTCTGCTGCATTCATGAAGTAAGACAGTGTGCTGGTTTAAAGGGAAGGCGTGTGCTGCAGGTATTGAACTCATGTTGCCTTTTGAAACGTCTGCTGCAGCTGTGAGGGCGACAGCAGAGGCTCGTGTCCATCTTGTGGCCCCGGCCGGGCTTAGGTTAATCCGTTTAATCTGTATACATGCTTTGCAGACGGCCAACAATGAACATTAAGGATTACTACGGGCCACAAGGTCATGGTGAGAGTGGAGGTCATTAACATGCAGGCTCCATCTTCCGAAGCCTGGCTGGAATCATTTAAGCTGCTCAGAAACTGCAGCTCGTGGTTATTTTCACCTTTGCTGAGGAGGTTACGTGACTGGTTCAGTTCATTTGTTGGGAGGATTACACAAAACGCTGGCGAGGTGTATGAGGGGGTAAAAAACAGACAGGCATTGTTAAGGACAACTTACAAGGACTCTTTACCAGTCCTCTACCACTGCCCACGCCTGGTTACCTACTGACTGAATGCATGTACAGTGATGGTATTGTTTGCATAAATAAGCAGCTGCGTGTTTTAGTTACTCTGGTGATTTGAGGCCATGGTTTATTTACAGCTCCAATAGTTTATGAGTAAATTGAGCTAACATTTTGTAAGTGATTGCTCACAACCTAAGGTGACAGGTGCACCGAGTTACTCCTGGGTTGTTTTTATTTTCTTAGAATAGTTTATTATTTTGATGCCTTGCACACCAACATGTGAATCAAAGCTCCGTCATTTAAACTGTTCCTGCAGCTCAGACCTTTACAAAGTTTCACCAACAAAATGTCTCGAGCTGAAATTTCCAAATTCCCAGTCTAAATTTTCATCTGGAACGAACTGTTAATCACTACCCTGAGTTAACGTTGTTCGTGGATTCTTCACTCACCGCGGGGTACGTGTGTCCTACATTGGCGCCGTGCCTCGTGATGTCAATGTTGAGGTCTTCTTCTGTGGTCTTCAGGTAGACTGGGTTGTCAAAGTTCATGCTCTTCTGGTTCTTCAGCTGCCAGTTCCTCCACATCAGGTAGCCGCCTGCTGCCGCCATCGCCAGTAGCACTGAGAGGAGAGACGAACAGTCAGGAGTCAAATCAACTCCCCCCCCAAAAAGTGCCAAGGATCTGAAATGAGGATTTTAATTAGTTTGCGCAAGTGTGTGGGCAGCATCTACTCACAGACGGGTAGTATGGCCCAGGCAGCAGCAGAACCTCTGGCTGTCGAATTCACTTGAATTGATGTGCTCACATTGGCTTCTGAAAGACAAAACAAGGCACATGCCAACAGCCAACAAGTTTAAAAACATTTCCTTAGACTTTGACTACCAGTTAGGTTTCCAATCAAGAAGCAGAATAAAGTGAAAATCCAAAATCATTTTGGCAACTGGTTTTTAATCTTTTAAAGAAAACAGCATCTGATGAGTCTCTCATTTCCCCAGTCTACTTTACCCAGTGTGTTCTTGTATCAGTGTCAAGTGAGGGCGGAAAAGAAGCTTGGCTGAACGCAGTAACAGACCTCAGAAGAGAAAGTTGGATTTGCTCGTACTACCAGCTGGCCCCCTTTGTGAAACTAATTCTTGCAACATGTCAACATTTTGGTTCAGAGTAAAATATTAAACTTCTGGCCTCATCCTTTCAATGAATTCATACCTCACCCTTCAAATAGCGTAAACCATCATTTTGGAGTGCTGACCGCATATGTGACAAAATCAATAGAGGTAATCAAAGTTCAATCTGTCCAAATCTTTGGTTTGATTTATTAAAGCTAGAACATCCTTAGCTTCACTTTGTTTACCAAATATCAGCTAGAATCATTATGCTGCAATAAATGTCTTGTCTACCAAATCAAAGCGAAACACACAGACAGTCAAACAGTCTTTGTGTTCGAGAAGATTTCAGTCTGAGATCCAGGTTCACTTGGATAAAGAGACTTTAGGGCATTTTGTTTAGCTTTTGTGGACAAAGTTATAAGCTCAGACTTCTCTTGTTCCATGTGGGACAGTTTTTTATAAATAGAATGATGGCTTAAATTCAAACAAAACTGTCAAGTTCTAAAATTCACCAGCATACATGGTTTTTAGTTTCTATAACGTGTCAAAAAACCCGTCAGGAGTAAAGTGGAAGCTCTTTAACAGCTTATTACAGTTTAAATAAAGCATTTCCATCAGCAGAAGAAAGTGTTTGGAGCTGCGTCAAACTAAACTACAGCCTGTGTCTTTATGGTAATGAAGGATATCAGAACAATGCAACAGTGTTTTGCAGCAACAATGGAGCTCAGTGACAGGAAGAGGATATAGCAGGCTTTGGATACTTGGGCATGATTTCATAGGAGGATTAATTCATTGTTCTGTCGTTTGTTGATAGTCTATTTTTCTTTCTTTGATTTTTGACATCCTGCAACACCTCATCTAAAAATAGGACATTAAGATGTTCAGGACTGCAAGACTTCTTTAACTCTTGGTGTAAGCACAAATGTTATGCTCTCCCAAGAAAGCTGAGATCACAGTTTGAAAAGCAGCGTTGGGGAAGGAGGGGGTTACAGTCTGAGAATTGCTGATTCTTGCTTCTCTTGCACGACTTCATTTCTTGATGATGCCTGAAGGATTTGTGCTACAATCCCTTTGTGTTGCAGTAATATAACAGTCACGTCTTAATTACCAGATTATGCCAAACTTTAAATGGGAAAGTGATTCTAGTGATGAAGCTTCCTTGTTCCTGCCACTAGGTGTTGCTCATGTGCTGTGCTCTTAATAGTGTAATGAACTGTGGTTTAATCAGCTGAAACAGAGGCAAACAACAGCTTTTCCCTCTAAGTACAGCATAAAAAACCCTCCGTGGTCAAATTGCCTATATGAGATTCATGAGAACAAACTCCACTTTAGAAACGGGGAGGATCTCATCAGCAGACCTTGTGTTTCTGATTAGGGTTGCTGTATGCATTTTTAGCATTTTATAGAGGATTAGAACAAAGTTCCTGAAGTTGTTTATGCAGTAATCACATTTTAGACCTTGTGAGTCTGATATGTTTGACACATGGCCGACAAGTCACACATCCAACATGATGCCCGCTTTGTTTCCAACAAACGTCAAACATGCAACAAGAGACCTGAGAGGACTTCCTCACACAGTCCTACATTACATTTATCTGCACAAAACAATGAACCTGAGATTAGAAGCACATTTATGCAGCTGAGATTTAACAAAATTCTCAGCTCCTCAGGTTAAATAAAATTTTAACCTGAGTGAAATAAATGAAATCTAGATAACATGACCTGAAAATCAAATTTAACAGCACAGGAGACATAATCCTAGTTTTTTTTTTTTTTTTAAATAAACTAATAGATTCTTTGTCCCTTTGGATGAAATATTTGTTTCTGTGCAAAATGTATAGTACTCAAATATATTTAGAGACTTATATCAGCTCATTAATGTTCATGCGCAGATATTCTCAGACTAAGATTTCATCAGATCAAGAGTGACTCGTCTAGAGTTACTGTGTCGTTTTGGCTACAGGTAGTTCTGTTAAGGAGCTTATTGACCTGCTGGATGTTGAGAGGGTGAGCAAATATTTTGTGGCCCAGGCATTTTCATATTTTGTTAAATATGTGTATACACAGAGCAGACTGTCCCTAGATTTGGGTTCCATAATTTATATTTTGGACAAAGCCAAGATGAGTTCCCATCATTTTCTGTGGGCAGCAATAAGGGGAACACTAGAGGAATGGACTCTAAAATCACTGAGCACAAATACTGCTGTACAGAGACACTGATGCAACAACTGCCCGTTACACTGCAGTTATGTGTCTGCAATTCTAATTCCTGCAAGCTTATCAACCAAGTGCGTTACAGTAATCGAAGGCCAATTAATCACATTTGAGAACTTACAGATTCATGGAACATTAATGGCCATCCTCTTTGCCTGTACCCACATGAAAAGATGAAAATACTTGAGAAAAAAAAATCCTGATTGATGTCATAATTCATGCATGACAGGGTTAGATAATTACAATGACACACGTCACACATCTATAGTAAAATTAAACAACCAGTGGGTGGCAGCGTATGGAGTGAGACATCAGGGTCCAATGTAGTGGTTTATGTGCAGGCATATCATCAGCACTGATACCAATACAAGAAAACAGCCTTTGAATAGCCGTCCACTGTAGTGACCACTATGCCTGAAAGGGTTAATATTGACACCAGCAGGCTACTTGACTACCTGAAATCAGCCCACTGTGTTATATTAAAAAAAAACAAAAACCAAAACCCAAACACCTTCTGTGCATCTTCAGCACAGATAAACACCAAAGCACAAGCAGAAGCTAGCATAACAGACGTGAAAAAATAAAAAATAAGAGCAAGCTCCAAACGGTTAAAAATCTCCACAGCACCATGGACACAAGAAACCTTTAATTTTGGCTTTAATCAAACAAAAAGCTGATTAAATGAGTAGGTTGGGGGAAGGATGGGCTGTACCCAAAAACATTTAAGTCAGATGTTCCCCAGTTAACAATTCAAATGAAAATGCCTCCTTGATCCATGGTGAGGGAGGAGAAAAGCCTGTTTTTTGTAATCATTTTTGAACCAAGCCCAACATTCTTTAAAGCGAGCCAGAGACAAACGCAGCGCAGCCAACAGTTTTACCTGAGGGTGGCTGTATTAGACCTTTCCCAGTATCCTTTGAAGGACCTTTGAAAGTAGGGTCTGTACAGAGAGAGCCAAGAATCATGCTTCACACACACAAAACTTAACAGAGGGTGTCCTATTTATAAACCCCCCCCCCCCCCCCAAAAAAAAAAAACCCCAAGCAGCACACATGCAAGTAGGCCTTCTTTGAATATAGACCAGATCTCAGGAGACTAAGCTAGTAAATAAATGCTCTGAAGCACTGATCCATTTTTGTTCAGTGAGAGGAAAGCCAAGCCAAGTAGAGAACCATCACAACAGCAGCAATGTCACATCTTTAACATTACCCTTGTGGTTCTCCTGCTTTGATATGACGAATGCTGGACAAGTGAGAGGACGACTCAAAGGCAATTTCACAGATTGAAAGCTGCAGCGCACTATAAAAAAAAAAAAGCATCAATCAGGACGTCTCTACCAGCATCTGTACAACCAGGAAGGACAGCTACAGCAACAATAAAACCTTTATAGCTGGATCAATATGATCTTGATTAGCAGAGGCAGCAGTGTTAGGATGTCTCAGGGCTTGAAATGAACAAGTCAGACTGAAAAAGCAATATTAACACAGTCAAGACCAAACTAAAGCAGTTTCCAAAACTTATCTACAAAAGAAAAACATTTTCAGATCAAATCACTCATAAAACTTGCAAAGATTAAAATTGGAATTGAACTGCAGTAACTTTGTGTGAGGGCCATTAATTCTTTTGGTTGCAATTATCTTTACTCAGACGGCACAATATTTTTGGCCGTTATGATGCGACTGTCAGGTCAAAACTTCCCTTTTCCATAACAGACCACTTTTTCTATGACACTTGTCATATGTCATGAAGAAGGTGGGGCTAGCTGGATGGCTATAAGCAGTCAATGGGAAACAAAAGCAAATGTATAATTGGGAAGCAAAATGTACACAGCTCTGGTTTTACGTCATTAGGCTCAAATGCAGTCATTTTAGAAAAAAGCTCAGATTGCCATCATGAAAAACCTGCTACATACGTAACCCTGACCATTGACGGGTTGATCAAAGTCTCAGGTATGTTATACAAGCATCAGCTAACATAACCCCGAGCATAGCCTTAAGTAGAGATAAGCAATGTGCTACATGTGTCTGGTAAGCTCACCTCTTTCCTTCCAACACCAAATATCTCCTTTCCAAAACTACATCTCCAGACCCTAGAAAGGTTTTACACTCCAACATGTCAGTATGTCCCCAAACTCACACACACAAAAAAAGACAAAGCAAGCACCTGCAAACTAAGGCTCATCTTTGAGGCATTGGTTCAACTTTACTTTTTGGGCAAACAGGAAAAGCCAGGAGCAAGCTTTCAGCCTTTGAATCTGCAGAAGGGTAAAGCACGTGTTTGCCACACTCCTTTGACTTTCACATTTGACTTTAATCCAATAATCAATAAATTCCAAATGCAATGAAAACTTATCTGATAAAAGGCAAGGACATTTAGGAGAGTCTGTAAAACAGTGGTCTCAGTATGCATTTTGCTTAATATAAACAGCCTGTCATTTTTATAGGTTTGTGTATGAACGGCAAGAAAAAAAAGCATATTTAATTAGACAATGTT